ACTAGTACTCACAGTCACATCACAGTCCACAGTCACATCACAGTACAGTCCACAGTCCACAGTCCACAGTCCACAGTCCACAGTCCACAGTCCACAGTCCACAGTCCACAGTCCACAGTCCACAGTCCACAGTCCACAGTCCACAGTCCACAGTCCACAGTCCACAGTCCACAGTCCACAGTCCACAGTCCACAGTCCACAGTCCACAGTCCACAGTCCACAGTCCACAGTCCACAGTCCACACACGATACTACCCTCCCAAGTCCAGTCCTATAATAGTGACTCCTATGCGACCTTGCCTGATCAGTGATCATGATGTCAGTGGCTGTCACCATTATCCAATCTGGAAAAAAAACATTTTGTTTTTGTTTTTTAAGGAAAAACTATTGAAAAAAAAACAATCAGTGTTCTCTTGTTTAATTTTTAGAAGGCTGTGGTTCTTACACCCTCTGCCACTTGCCAGTCTGCCTCTCTGGTGTCTGATCTCGAAGTCACCATATTCACCGTATATTTTCTCTAAAAAAAAGTGTATTATTAATAAAACACACAGTGGTCAGAGTCTCTCAGAGAGTCAGAGAGGTGAGATACATAGTCAGAAACTCGAGAGTCCGCAGACTCCACACATATCTCTACTACTAGTAGCAATAGTAGTAGTAGTCGAGAGAGAGAAAGACGACTACTACTAGTAGAGACTAGCTAGTGTGAGAGAGACGACGACTACTACTAGTAGAGCCTAGCTAGTGAGAGAGTAGAGACTAATAGAGAGAGAGAGAGACTCCGACGAGAGTCCGATGTTGGCATGCTTTTCTTGATAATCGATTAGGAACATGGAATGATTTGGCTTTTTTATTGTCGTATCAAACGGTTCAAACCATTGCAGAATACTGAATAGACTGCAACAGTGTCACAGACTCACAGAGTCATAGTCAACACAATACTGAACACTCAGCACTCAACAGTGTGCCACAGTCCCACGGGCCACGTGGGGCGTGGGCCCGTGGCCCGTGAGGCTTTAGAGCCACAGCCACAGGTGGCACAGGGCCAGTCACCAGTGGTAGACTGGTAGTCCCAACTAACTCCCAAGTCTCAGGCTCTTAACAGCTATCATAGCTCCCACCAATATCCTACACACTCTTGAGTCATCACTCACCAGTTGGCATTGTCGGCAGCACTCGACAGTCTTCAGTCGGCAATCGGCAGTGCTTGAGTACTGACTGCTCGGTACTACAGTCGGTAGTCGGTGATCGATAGTCGTTAGTCGGCAGTCAGCAGTCAACAGTTGGCACTCGAAACTCGGCACTCGGCACTCTAGCAGCCAGCAATTAGCACTCAGCAGTTCAGCACTCCCAAGTCCCAGGCGAGAACTATACCTACGCAAACTTATATTTATTCAACATACAAAACGTATCAATGCTGTTCTGAACTTCTCACATCTGTCACACACTGTTCAAATTTCATAGGTATTTGATCATTCATGTGTGGCACCGTGACCGGAGTCTGTCTGTAACGAGTGTGAGACTGTGAGAGACTGAGAGAGACTCATTCTCAGATCTCTGGTCTGGAGTCAGGAGGTTGGGCTCAGGCACTCTCTGTGTTTCACTGTTTCCATTTCTAATTTGAGTTTATGATCGAGTATCGACTATCGAGCAAGTTTGTACACGTGTATGGAGTATGGACTATGGACTTTCGAATATGTTTGTAAAAGTTTGTAAACGTGTATCGACTATCGAGCAAGTTTGTACACGTGTATGGAGAATGGAGTATGGACTTACGAATATGTTTGTAAAAGTTTGTAAACGTGTATCGACTATCGAGTATCGAACAAGTTTGTAAACGTATGTATGTACTACATATCGCCTATCGGGCCTGTCTAAACTCTACTTTAAAGTATAAAAACCCTCAAACCCGACCTTTTTTAAAAACAAATTGCGTCAGAAAAAAAATCAGCGCTGTTTGCAGAAGTCAGAACTGCAGACGCCAGACGGGCGACGGCAGAGTGCAGATAGTGAGTAGTGACCACTGGCTACTGACCAGTGATTAGTGACCAGTCCCACAACAGTTATGACATCACCCTTGCCTTCATTAGTATTTACTCGTTCTACTCTAACGAGGCTAAAAAAAAATATTTTAATTATACAGTATGTATGATATTAGATATACAATTACCGTTCGAGAGTCGAGACTGTCTCCGAGTCAGACTCTCTATGTATATATCCACTATCCAGATTCCAGAGGGCCATGAAGTTTGAGTTCGTTGAGGTCTGCGAGAGTAAATACATATGTATGTATATTGAAGAAGAAAAAAACAATTAAAAAAAATTTAAGTACATAAACAATAAAATGATCTTCATGTTTCTATTTATTACAGTAAATTTAAAAACTAATACTTTCCTGTTTCAAGTTTCATGTTTGATTAAAAGAGGCTTTAACTGAGAACTTAGAAGTGTGATTATTTACTCAGAACATGTAGTAGGAAGCCAAACGGGAGACACATTCAAGCGTCCACTCAGTTCACTTACATCCTAAAATGCGCATAGAACAGGCAACTCTGGCCGATCCCCAGCTCACCGCCTTCCGTCGCGTACGCAACATATGCTGTGCTGTAAACACTCACGGCTGACGATAGGAATCCACAGATTGTGCTACAACACGAGGTCACTGATAACACGACGCCGTGGGATAACATCGTGGAGCTCTTCGACCCTAATGACATCTCAGGGGCGATTATAAATGTTCGGTACAAAGTTGCTACGAGAGGAAAACGAGAGAAACTAGGTATTGTTTAGGCGTGCATGAAAGCCTCGCTTACAGCCTTTGCTTGTTCGGGTTGTTTTGCTTGATCGTACAAGTTCTGTTGTCAGGTCTTGTATATAATTGATCCTTGTTACGAGGGCCTTATATTAATACATGTTCTGTGTGTTCCTTTGAAGTTACCTTTCTCACCTACCTGCAGACGGATTTTCGTAACGACATACAATCTGAGTTCAAACATGCCTGCAAATGATGTTCAATGGTTTCGTTATTGACACTATATGCAATTGAACTTCAACACGGGCATCCAGTTTATCCAAAATAGTGAAAGTATGTTTTTACATATGTTTATATTATA